TCCCTCCCTCCCTCCCTCCCTCCCTGAATTCATTTATTCCTTTGCTTGAGAACAACCAGTGCATGTGAGTTATTTTATATTTATATTCCAGGTTTGAGGTCAGCTTTTCTATTGCAATTGCAACCTGCTTTAAGCAAGTAATACTTTTCATTGCATGAAGATGGTAACAGGAAAATCTGCATTCATGGAATTTTCTTGCTTCAGTCTGCCATTAATGGTGCAATGGTGGGGCTGAGGAGCAAATTGATAAGCTTGTTTTAGAGACACTCTTTTTTGTCTTGATTTATGCCCTTTTTCCACCAGTGAAATTGCAGTATATTATAGATACCTCTTCCTACCCAACAGCTTAGCTCTAAGATGTCTGCAGTAATAACAGCTCTGGCATATCTCTGTGTAGCAATTTTTTCATGCTAGTTGCTCCAAGCATTCAGCATAGGTCTATTTGGACACGTTCCAGGGAAATAGTTAAGATTGTTCCTGCTCTCCTCACTTGTGAGCGTGCAGCCTGGGCCTTTTCAGATGTGCTTTGAAAGGAAACTGTTTCTTGCTTGCGTGGATAGTTGGTATCATAAGCTATCTGCCTTTTTTTATCTGCAAGGATGGTTAAATATTCACGTACATGTATGTGCATTATATGTAAATGACTAAAACTTTAACGACACACTTGTGGCTGTCATCTTGGGGTTCTGGACACCTTTGATATTTCCAAATCTTCAGAATGGATCCAGGATCTTTCAGGTGTCTTTTCTGCTTGATCCCACTCTGTTTGATCTCTTCCAAGATTGCTCAACTGTCCTTGGCAGCATCCTTTACCTTTGCCTCTAAGACCTGGGGCTGATTGCGGGGCAGGGGTGGGGGGAATCACCAATGGTCTATTTATGTGCTCTGTGGAATCTGCAAGCAGTTTTAGATAAAACTTTAGCTAACTTTGGCTTCTTTATGACATGAGACTGTTTGCAATTACCTGTCTCTGTTGTCTGCAAGCTATAAGATGTGTGCATGTACACACACACACACACACACACACACACACACACACTTATC